TATGGGGCATCTGGGTGGCTCAGTTGGTTAAGCCTCCAACTCTTGACTTCTGATCAGGTCGTGATCTCAAGGTCGTGAGATCAAATCCGACATCAGGCTCCACACTCAGCGAGGAATCTGCTTGAGAATCTCTCTCCGTCTGTCCCACCCCTCCCCCTGCATGTGCACACTAAAATAATTAAATCAATCTTTAAAAATAAACTTCCATGTGTGTGCGTATTTGTGCAGCAGATGGCAGTGCTGACTGAGCTAGATCTGAACAAGCAAAATCCGTAAAAGATTTTGAGGCACAGAGTTATAATCATTTCAACAATAAAATTCTCTGGTATTATTCAAACTCATGCCCAACACATGACTTCACCAACAACTCACTCCACTTTTCCTATTTTCTATATCAAAATCTGCTTTTGAAAAAAAAATTGTGTTTTTATTATGAATTATGAATAACAATAAAGCAAACTCCCAAAATGTGAGAAGTAGTCAGATTATTTTAATCTGTAAAATATTCATGTGTAGTAGGTTTAACAGGACATAAACCATAATAGGCATCCAAGCGGCCAAAAACAGAACTTGCTCTGTACTTGAAGAACTAGCTTCCCTGCGAGGCCGGAGAGGTGCGGAGGGGTGAAGGACCCAGCGTCTGCAGCACTACACAAGACCGCAGCCCTCCGAGGGAACTGGGAACTCAGCGTGATCATCTGCACTCCACAGAGGGGGCGCTGAGGCTCGCTGGTTAAGGACCTCAACAGCAGGCCACTACCGGCAGTGAGGTTCCCACCCAGGCCTGACTCTCAGGGGAAAGCTGTTTTCCGCCCAGCTGGGTCACTTGGGGCGGCTTCTGAAACAGAGACTCAACTATGCTTCATGATTTTGTGTTAAGTTTACTTTCTCACGGTCTAATTCTTTGAAAAACCGAAGCTGATACAATAGTAACACAAACTGGGAATCTGAGAACATTTCATCCCTGTATTATAATGGGTAAGAAGAGCTTAATCAAACACAACAAACTGAAAGTGACTCTTGTTACTGATTACCGCATGTCCTTCAACGGTTACTGCTTTCCAACAAGCCCTTGAAATGTCCTGCAATCTTTAATCCTCTGTTGTGACTTGAGTCCTATTTCTAAGAAATCAGACAGAAGCTTATCTGGACTGAAAAACAAACAAACAAACAAAACAAACAAAAAACCCCACAAGGGTATACACAGGCAAACCAAGGATAAAAAACTAGCGAATAAATGAGGAGTATGGATCTTGGCTGTGACGAGCTGAAATTTTTTTAAATTACTGTTATTTTAGTCACCATACAGCACATCATTAGTTTCTGATGTAGTGTTCCATGATTCATTGTTTGCGTATAACATCAGTGCTCCATGCAATCCGTGCCCTCCTTAATACCCACCATCAGGCTCACCCATACCTCCTCCCCTCTAAAGCCCTCAGTTTGTTTCCCCAAGTCCATAGACTCTCATGGTTCGTTTCCCCCTTCATTTTTCCCTTCCTTCTCTTAATGTCCTCCATGCTACTCCTTACGTTCCACAAGTAAGTGAAACCATATAATAGACTTTGTTTGACTTTTAGCATAATCTCCTCCAGTCCCATCCATGTTGACGCAAAAGTTGGGTATTCATCCTTTCTGATGGCTAATATTCCATTGTGTATATGGACCACATCTTCTTTATCCATTTGTCTATTAAAGGGCATCTTGGCTCTTTCCACTGTTTGGCTATTGTGGACATTGCCGCTATGAACACTGGGGTGCATATGGCCCTTCTTTTCACTACATCTGTATCTTTGTGGTAAATACCCAGTGGTGCAATTGCTGGGTCACAGGGTAGATCTATTTTTAATTTTTTGAGGAACTTCCATATGGTTTTCCAAAGTGGCTGCACCAATTTTCATTCCCACCAACAAGTTTAAGAGGGTTCTCCTTTCTCCACACCTTCAAGAACACCTGCCACTTCTTACCGTGTCGATTTTTGTCATTCTAACTGGTGTAAGGTGGTATGTCACTGTGATTTTGATTTCAATCTCCCTGATGGCTAATGATGATGAACATTTTTTCCTGTGTCTGTTGGCCATTTGTATGTCTTCTTTGGAGAAGTGCCTATTCATGTCTTCTACCGATTTTTTTTTTTTAAGATTTTATTTATTTATTTGACAGAGAGAGATCACAAGTAGGCAGAGAGGCAGGCAGAGAGAGAGAGAGAGAGGAGGAAGCAGGCTCCCATCTAAGCAGAGAGCCCGATGTGGGCCAAAGGCAGAGGATTTAACCCACTGAGCTACCCAGGCGCCCCCTTCTACCGATTTTTTGACGTGATTATCTGTTTTGTGTGTGCTGAGTTTGAGAAGTTCTTTATAGATCTTGGATATCAGCCCTCTGTCTATAGTGTCATTTGCATATCTTCTCCCATTCTGTGGGTTGCCTCTTTGTTTTGTTGACTGTTTCCTTTGCTGTGCAGAAGCTTTTGATCTTGATGAAGTCCCAAAAGTTCATTTTCCCTTTTGTTTCCCTTGCCTTTGGAGACAAGTCTTGAAAGAAGTTGCTGTGGCCAATGTCAAAGAGGTTACTGCCTATGTTCTCCTCTAGGATTTTGATGGATTCCTGTCTCACACTGAGGTCTTTCATCCACTTAGAGATTATCTTTGTGTCTGGTATAAGAGTATGGTCCAGTTCCATTCTTCTGTATATGGCTGTCCAATTTTCTCAGTACCATTTACTGAAGAGACTTTTTTCCACTGGATATTTGTTCCTGCTTTGTCGAAGATTAGTTGACCATAGGGTTGAGGGTCCATATCTGAGCTCTCTACTCTGTTCCACTGGTCTGTGTGTCTGTTTTTGTGCCAGTACCATGCTGTCCTGGTGATCACAGCTTTGTAATACAGCTTGAAACCAGGCAACGTGATGCCCTCAGCTTTTTCTTTTTCAACATTTCCTTAGCGATTCGAGGTCTTTTCTTGTTCCATACAAATTTTAGGATTGTTTGTTCCAGCACTTTGAAAAATGCCATTGGCATTTTGATAGGGATGGCACTGAAAGTATAGATTGCTCTGGGTAGTATAGACATTGTCCAAAGTTTATTCTTCCGATCCATGAGCATAGACTGTTCTTCTATCTTTCTGTGTCTTCTTCAATTTCTTTCATGAGTGTTTTGTACTTCCTAGAGCATATATTCTTTACTTGGGTTAGGTTTATTCCAAGTATCTTGTGGTTTTGGTGCTATTGTAAATGGAATCCATTCTCTAATTTCTCTTTCTACAGTTGCACTGTTAGTGTATCAGAAAGCAACTGATTTCTGGACGCTGATTTTGTATCCTGCCACATTACTAAATTACTGTATGAGTTCTAGTAATTTGCGGATGGAGACTTTCAGGTTTTCCACATAGAGGATCATGTCATCTGTGAAGAGAAAGTTTGACTTCTTTGCCAATTTGAATACCTTTCATTTCTTTTTGTTGTCTGATTGCTGTTGCCAAGACTTCTAGTACTGTGTTGAACAATAGTGGTGATAGTGGGCATCCTTGTCATGTTCCTGATCTCAATGGGAAGGCTCTTAGCTTTCCCCCATTGAGAATGATACTCGCTGTAGGGTTTTTCATAGATGGATTTTATGAAGTTGAGGAATGTTCTCTCTATGCCTATACTCTGAAGAGTTTTAATCAGGAAAGGATGCTGTATTTTGTCAAATGCTTTTTCTGCATCAATTGAGAGGACCATATGGTTCTTGTCTCTTCTCTATGTCTTCTGTCACACTGACTGATTTGTGAACATTGAACTACCCTTGCATCCCAGAGATGAATCCCACCTGGTCATGATGGATAATCCTTTTAATGTACTGTTGGATCCTATTAGCTAGGATCTTGTTGAGAATTTTGGCATCCACATTCATCAGGGATACGGGTCTCAAATTCGTTGGTTTTGGGATCAAGGTAATGCTGGCCTTATAGAAAGAGACTGGAACTTTTCCTTCTGTTTCTATTTTTTGAAACAGCTTCAGGAAAACGGGTATTATTCCTTCTTTGAATGTTTGGTAGAATTCCCCCAGGGAATCCAACAGGCCCTGGACGCTTGTTTCTTGGGAGGTTTTTGATCGCTGCTTCGATCTCGTAACTGGTTATTGGTCTATTCAGGTTGTCAATTTCTTCCTGTTTCAGTCTTGGCAGTTTCCAGGTTTCCAGGAATGCATCAGCTTCTTCCAGGTTGCTTAATTTATTGTGATATAGCTGTGATAATAATTTCTGATAACTGTATTTACTTCCTTTGTGTTAGTTGTGATCTCTCCCCTTTCGTTCATAATTTTATTAATTTGGGTCCTTTCTCTTTTCTTTTGGATAAGTCTGGCCAGTGGTTTGCCAATCTTATTAATTCTTTCAAAGAACCAGCTTCTAGTTTCATTAACGTGTTCTACTGTATTTCTGATTTCTAATTCATTGATCTCTCCTCTAATCTTAATAATTTCCCTTCTCATGTGTGGGTTAGCTTTAATTTGTTGTTGATTCTCCAGATCTTTAAGGTGTAAAGACAGTGTGTGTATTCAGGACCTTCCTATTGTTTTGAGTGAGGCTTGGATGGCTATGTATTTCTTCCTTAGGACCACCTTTGCCGTACACAGTAGGTTTTGGATCTATGTGTCTTCGTTCTCATTGGTTTCATAAATTGATTAAGTTCTTCTTTGATTTCCTGATGGGCCCAAATATTCTTGAGCAGGATGGTCTTTAGCTTCCAAGTGTCTGAATTTCTTCCAAACTTTGAAATTTTAATTTTAAAAGTACAACATGGTTTTTAGTATGTCTGAATTTCTTCCAAACTTTGAAATCTTAATTTTAAAAGTACAACATGGTTTTTAGTAATGTACGTAACTGACACTATTTTCTGTTTACTTAATTCTGGAACTGTGTCAACCCAAGTGCACCTGACTAGTTTAGTCAATGACTCAATGCCCCAGACCACGCTTTCTCCTTAATTCAATAAAGTCATGAGGAGGAAAAAAGCACACTCACCTGATAAGCACGTCATTAGGCCCAAGGCCAGCATAGCCCCAGCCAACACCGTCAGCCGATTATAGCGCATTGCCATGATGGCTGCTATAAAAAATGTCTTATCACCCAGTTCAGATACAATGATAACTGATATTGCAGCAACAAATGCATGGATAAATCCCAAATTCGTCTGGGTAGCTGGATCTTCTTTATTGCCATGAACCGGGGCAGCTGGTGTAAATCCTTTCTGAAATAAAAAAGATACATACAGCTGTATCAGCTATTTTTTTGGAAAAAATCGTTACTTAAAATTGTTTTATTTTTGGATGTGAATTGAAGTTTTTCTGTCACTGTCATTAACTCACTAAGGACTCTGAAAGCCATTTGTAATGACCAAAACTTCTAACTGATAGATGCTACAATGCAGATCCAAGTATAATTCTGCAAAATAATTTTTTTAAGGAGACCAGCTATAGCCAAATGTTAAAATTACTCTATTTCCCAAACATTTGAGATTAGTTCTTAGCTATATCTCATTCAGATTTTTATTTGTAACTTGAATGGAAGAGTCAGATATGTTTACCAAACATTCAAGTAAAAGAAAGCAGAGAGAAGTTGCTTTAACATTTTACAGGACAAAATAGGATATAGAAAGTTCTCAACAGGCTGGAGCAAGAAATGGCTCTAGCTGTGATTTAATATAGCTGGACATAAAAATACATAAAGAACTTATAAAATACCAAAAAAAACCCAATAATCTGATTAAAATGGGCAGAGATCCCGAACAGATATTTTTCCAAAGACATCCAGATGGCCAACAGCCACATGGAATGATGCCCCACATTCCTCATCATCAGGGAAATGCAAATCACAACCACAATGAGGTTCCACCTCACAACTGTCAGAATGGCTAGAATCAAAAAGATAAGATACACATGTTGGTGAGGATGTGGAGAAAAGGAACCCTCGTGCACCTGGTGGGAATGTAAACTGATGCAGCCACTGTGGAAAACAGTACGGGGGCTCTTCAAAAACTTAAAAATAGAACGACCCTACGATCCGGTACAGGGTATTTACCCAAAGCAAACAAAAACGCTAAATTGAAAAGATCTATGCACTTCTATGTTTACTGCAGCATTATTTAAAATAGCCGGACAGGGAAAGAACCTAAGTGTTCACCAACAGAAGAAGATACGGTATTCTCTCTCTCTCTCTCTCTCTCTCTCTCTCACACACACACACACACACACACGCACGCACACAATGAATATTACTCAGCCATTAAAAAAATGAGTCTTGGGGCGCCTGCATGGCTCAATCCGTTAAGCATTTGCCTTGGCCTCCTCACGTCATGATCCTGGGGTCCTGGGATCAGGGCCCTGAGTCGGGCTCCCTGCTCAGTGGAAGTCTGCTTCTCCCTCTCCCATTCTCCCTGCTTGTGTGCTCTCTCTCTAATAAATACATAAAGTCTTTCAAAAAAAAGAGATCTTGCCATTGCAACAACATGGATGGACCTAGAGGGTATTATGCTAAGTGAAATCAGAGAAAGACAATAACATCTGGTTTCACTTACACATAGAATCTAAAAAACAAAACAAAAAAGCAAGCAAAACACAGGAACAGACTCATAATTACAGAGAACTGATGGCTGCCAGAGGGGTGGGGGTGGGAGGACAGGCAAAACGGGGGAAGGGGAGTGGGGATACAGGCCTGCAGCTATGAGTGAGTGCATCATGGGGAAGAAGGGGACAGCCCAGGGAATATGGTCAACGGTGCCATGGTTTCCTTGTCTGGTGACAGACAGCAGGCACACCTGTGAGGTAGCAAACATACAGAGCTGTCACATCACCATGCTGTGCACCTGAAACTCACGTAATGCTGCGTGTCAACTACACTTCAATAAAAAAAATTAAAACTGTTAAAAAGATGTACACATATAGAGCTGGATATATGATAGTGCTATGCCAATGTCTAAACAATCCTAGGAGGTGTCCTGTGGTCTAATAAAAACGACAAACCTGGGGCGCCTGGGTGGCTCAGTGGGTTAAGCCTCTGCCTTAGGCTCAGGTCATGACCTCAGGGTCCTGGGATTGAGCCCTGAATCGGGCTATCTGCTCAGCAAGGAGCCTGCTTCCCCCTCTCTTTCTGCCTTTCTCTCTGCCTGCTTGTGATCTCTCTCTCTCTCTGTTAAATGAATAAATAAAATACTAAAAACAACAACAAAAAAACGACAAACCTAAATCTTGGTCGGCATTAAGGTCATTTTAAGCTGAAATGTGACCATGCTCCAAGAAGCAAGAAGTACCTGACGTACTTTTTAACAGCTAGTGACAAGTCCATTATTCTGTGCTGCCCAGCTCTCACCCAAAGTCCTGCACAGTTCTGGGGAGCCACCGTGGAGAAGGCCCCGCCCCCTGAAGATCATCCCAGAAAGAAGAGGCTCTCAAGCTACAGGGTGGCAGGCTGTTGCGAGGCCACGACCAGCTTGTGTCAGCTAAGAATGTTTTTTACAGAGGCACCTGGGTGGCTCAGTCTTTAAGCATCTGCCTTCAGCTCAGGTCATGATCCCGGGATCAAGTCCCGCATTGGGCTCCCTGGTCCTCAGGAAGCCTGTTCTTCCCCTCCCTCTCCCCGTGCTCGTGTTCCCTCTCTCGCTATGTCTCTCTCTGTGTCCAAAAAATAAAATCCTTAAAAGAAAGAATTTTTTTTTACATTTTTAAGGGGTTGCAAAAAATAAAAAGAGGGACAGAAGGGAGAGGGATGGAAGAAGGAAGGGAAAATTATGCAACAGAGACCTTAAAAACCTAAAATATTACCTGGCCCGTCAAAAAAAAGTTTCCAACTTAGGCTCTAAAACAATCAAAGAAGGGACAAGGAGAAACCAGGTGCCTATGTTCCCATGGCCGCAAAAAGTCTGCAGGTCTGTATCTACACTGCAGGGTCCCAAGAGGTAGAACTAGAAAGTCACAGGTGCTAGCTTTAGGGGGCAGATTTTAGCTTACCCCAGAGAAAAGAGTTCTCCCCCAAGACAGCCAGGTGAAGCCATACTGGATGGCGAGAGAAGGCAGCCAGTCTCCTCCTCTGTGTCAGAGTTCCAGAGAAGAAGACGTCCCCTCACGGGACATGCACTGTGTCGGAGGTCTGCCACCGGGACCATTTTGTCTCTCAGGGGTCTTAGTGCAATGTCCAGAGATGCTGTCACAACTGAACTCCTGGCATCTGGCAGGCAAAAGCCACAGGTGCTGCTATGGACAGATCGCCATGCACAGGACAGCCCCAACCTCCACTGTGAAGAATTACCAAACCCAGCACATCTCTAGTTCCCAGGCTGGGAAACTGTGGACTGGACAAATCGCTTCTGCATGTCTCCTCCAAGCCTAACAGCCAACCTTTAATTAACTTTTAAAGCCTATGAATCTCTAGAAACCTAAGAGATGAAAAAGAGAAAAAAACTCCAAAAATACATATGATATTTGACAGGGTAAAAAACAAGTATTTTGATTTACACAGGTTCTAGTCAGAGATGTCAGAGGTTAAGAATAAAATTCTAAATTCTTAGTGCGCACAGCTTTCCTCAACTCACGAAAGGAACGTGAGTCCCAATTCCACAGTAAAGATCAGCAAAATTTAAGCATTTATCAGACGAGACCTCTGAGCTAAAAACTGGGGCAATTTAATGTTTTCGAAAATATCTGATGTTAGGACTAAATCAAAAGGACAGCCTTGGAAGCCAGCTCTTTATTAAGCAAGTACCATTTTAAGAAATTCTTCTTTCTTGGGCACCTGGGTGGCTCAGTTGGTTGAGTGACTGCCTTCAGCTTGGGTCATGATCCCTGAATCCAGGGATGGAGCCCCACATCAGGCTCTTCTCAGCAGGGAGTCTCCTTCTCCCTCTGACCTTCCCTCCCCTCCTGCTCTCTCTCAAATAAACAAAATCTTAAAAAAAAAAAAAAAAAAAGAAAAGAAATTCTTGCTTTCTCTCCATGACCATTTTAGCTCCATCTATGCTGATGGTCCTTTAAAGATGAGCTTCCTTTCTCTTCAAATACCCTCGATCATTAAGCATCATTAAAAAAAAAGAAGCATTTCAACTCGGCTCTCATTAATGCAACCATTTTCCTCCTGTATGAAGGAATTTCACTGTAAAGTATTTAGGATCTGAAATCCAAGAAAACATTTAGGAATAAATATACACCATTTATGATCAATTAGCTCTAAGCTCAAAACCAGAAAATGTTTACTTTTAAAAACACAGGGATCAAAACTGCATATTATATTCTCCTGACCTTATAATTCCCAACCATAAAGCCCTGGCTTTATTACTCAGCCTGTCTGTTTCTCTGTGAAATGACGACAAAATAAAACTTGCCTTGCAAGGACAACAAAACAAAAAAACCATATATTCTTAAAAACTTGCTATATACACGACACAAGAAAATCAACCTGCAGCTTTTATCATATATTAGGCTAGTCTTGATATCCAAAAAGATAGTGTTAAACCACCAACCACTGTGATAAGAATTGACAACCGAAGCATCAGGGTATTACGGAGGTCGATTTTTTAAAACTTAAAGTGCTAATAACAGGGTCAGAAAATGATCACTGGTTGTCAAAGGCCTAACTGCTTACAGTGTGCAGGGAGCGTCTCCTTTTTCTAATCCACCTTCAGGATAACTTGCAGCGGTTTAATGCGTGGCTCTGGTATCAGACTGCCCGGGTCCACAGCCAAGGCCTTACCACTTACTGTAGGACCTTGGGCCCAGAAGCTTACCTCCCCATGACTCAAGCTCTAGGGCTGCTGTGAAAATTAAATGAGCTCCCACACAGAAAGCTTTAGGATGACGCCTAGCCACACAGCAAGCACTCAGGGACACACAACAACCACAACGTACCACAATGACCAGTTTCATCCCTGTAAAACGAAGTTGGTTCATTAAGTTGGTCACTAACGACGAGCCTCACGCTCCCTATGGAAGGATGGGCCAGAGCAGCTGCGTCCAGCAGAAAATAATGCAAGCCACAGAATTTACATTTTCTGGTAGCCACGTTTTAAAAATGTAAAAACAGATAAAGTTATTTTTAATAATATTTTACTTAACCCGACATAGCCAAAACACTACTCTGGGAACACGGCATTCCTTTATTTCCACACGGGCGTCTACCTACTCAGCACGCCCAGCTCACGCACGTCCCCATTTAGCCAAGCCACAGTTTTCCAGTGCGGAAGGATGGCCACATGGCTCGGGC